AATTGCTCTGCAAGTTCTACTTCCTTGTGTAGTGTATTCGGAGCATCATTTTGGTTTAATTATTTTATTACATTTTAAGCTGTAATTGGTTTTTTATTTGTATAATCAAATGAAGGTAAAATACCACAAAACTGGCGTTAGAAAATCCAAATCTTTACTTTCTTTTTATCTAAACCTTTGCCGCCTTCCTAGCGTAATGGCACAAGGATATATAGCAGCTATATGACCTGAGGAAAGCTGAATAAATTTTTGCCTTCATAATTAGTTGGCAAGTCCCATTCAATAGGTAAGCTCATCCTTGTTTTTTTTTTTTTCCATAAATAGCAAGTTGTTGTGATGAAAATTATTTAGCCAATAAATGCTGGCAAATGAACGACAACGATTATGTTTGCATATATGAAGAAATCTCATTGGTCCTAAACTAATGGCTGAAGATTACCTCAACTAATATTCTTTATAGTGAAAGGCAGTAACGAAATTAGAATTTTATATTTGACTAATGAAAATAAGAAATTTAATATTGGTAACAACGAAATTATAAATTTTTATAAAAAATAAAGAATAAAATTTTAAAATTTTTTAAAAAATAATTAAATTTGAAAATTTTAGAAGAGATGGGAGCCCCTACTAGCCCCACTCCCTAAGTAACTGCAAACGCTATCAAGTAAATGCCAGAGTCACCATTAACTACTATGTCTGCGCTGTGTTTGATCATTAACGGCAAGCGTGCAAGCCGACCAATCAAAAGTACCACCAGCCGGAACCAAAGCAGCCAGGATATGTTATTGTCCGTTCAGATTGATCCTTAAACGTGTTGGTCTGCTACTCTTCTAATTTTCTTTCCCTCAAGCTTGGTTTTTCCTTTCGTGATTGAATAATGGAAAAAGGAGCAAGTTGAAAATTTCGGCTATAGTGGCATGAAAACGCTTTGCTCTGTACTTTTTATTAAGGGATTGAAGCGGAGAGTGACCAAAGAAATAATCCCCTCAGCAGTCATCTCAATAGTTCTTTGGGGGCATTGAATCTCTTTTATTATATTTTTAACATTTTCAACACTTGTCGACAAATCCACCACGTTCTCAACGAATGTAGACACGGAATCGTTTCTGGTCCCAATTTCAAAAGAAAATCTGATCATGATTACTCTTTTTTTAATAAACATGCTGGTACTGAGATTGGGGCCAACGTTGGGAGTGTTGGCAGGCTGACACTGTCCGCAGAAGGGCATTGCTTGCAGAAAGCAAGGATTCCCACTTCAGGGATCAGCATCGGCAAACAGCCGTGACTTATGTAGGCTTTTTGTCCTATATGAATGAACCATTGACGCGACACTTATCTTATCTCTTTTCAGTTTTCGTTGGCTATCGGATAACTATAAAATCTAGGGGTTAAATAACGAAATCATTTCAGTCTTCCGTCACCAAAAATATATCATTATCGTATTCATCAATGAATTTATCATTTTCCAATTAATGAACAGTATCAATATCGTATTCAGGATTAAATTTTGTCTTGGCGGTGCTTGAGAGGCAAATGTAAAACTGATGCGGCATGATAGGCAAAGAGATCGTTAGAAGATAAAAAACAAAAGGTCGCTAAGGCTGCTTCTATAGCAGACTTATGTCTCCATCACAGTTCATATCTCTCGTGAATTAATTTTGTGCGTAGAACATATTTTCAGGCTTTTGACTTCAAGTTTGTGGGATCTCCTAGCAGACACGGTCTTATACGTGTGCAACTGGTTCTTTGGTTATTACATTAAAAATCCAAAGAAATAATATCTTATTGCATTAACAACAAAAATGTAGACGTATTTGCATACGAGATGTCGTGCGCACAAAAATTCAACGAGTTTATTATGCGCAAAATGGGAATTGAGAGGCAATTACCTTATAATGCACGACAGAAGATCAGAGAGCCCCTCCTGCTTTGAATTGGCTTCTTTCGTGTTGATTATTGCCCAATCCTAATGATTGAAAAAAAAAAAACGACAAATTAGACATTTGAACTTACTTCTCTTTGGTGCCAGCATATAATTGGATGAGGTAACTTGTCAATTGTATACATCATTGTGCTAATGAATTCAAGAAACTGAATCCGAATGGAAGGAGGGTTTAGACTTTTAAACTAACACTTAACATGGAAAATATACATTGTTCTTCATTATTGATTTTTCCTTTGAACTAAAGTTGACATTGTCGTCACAGAAGCCTTAAAAGTACTCCATCAACAGATGGTCCAACACTATTTTCTTTTTTCTTTTTTTGGATTAACAAACATAAATACAACAAATATTTCCTCTTGCGTTGTTTTCACAATGGAAACAATAATTGAAGACGGAAGATCAATTAAAGCCTTCAGTGACTCCTGCCTCGTGAGATGATTCCAGCAACCTTGGGCTGCTTGTAGCAATTATCAATATTTAACTATCAAATAGCTAGAGATAAAAGTCGTGATATGGGCCATTTGATACATACATACATTGACTTATAGCCAAGCTCGGCTCATCCTACTAAAAAGAACGAGATGCCTTGTCTCCTTCATTCCTTCGATTCTAAATATTAAATCCATAGAAAGCAAGCGAAATATCTGCTATTCTGATGGAAGCATACTAAATGCCAAGGACCAAATGCTTTGAATCTACCAATTCCAATTAAGAATGAATGTGACGTGTAGATCATAAATAGTAGTAAATGATTTTTTTGGAGTAATAATGCCCAATCAACAATTGGTTGGGTTCATTATGGTGCAAACAGTGGGCTTCTAAGATTTTGTATGATATTGTATGCACGGATGGAAGAAGTATATATAAAAGAAATTATTTGAATACTGGTCAAACATTGAATAAAATGTCTTTATTTTTTCCTTAAGTAATTGTATATTTCACTTTTATTTTCTTTTGTTACTTCTTATAACTAAAATGAGATTGTATAAACCCCACATGGTGAGTGAACTAATTATGATATATTTATCCATGCTTGGTATCAAAATAACTACATAATTGAATCAAAGGTCTTTAACTCCTAGGCACAAACTCTTGAGAGGAGAGAGAGACTGAATTTTGTGAAATGAAAAGAAAAAGATTATTGTTATTGAATAACTCAAAATCCGATGAACTTTAAAGAGAAAAGAAGAAAAAAGAACAGACGCAAATGGTATTGTTTCTTCTATTTTTCTCTTGATTTTCCTCATATGGTGTAAATATAGACACGGAACAGAAAAGAAGAGTCAAAGGTCAAGGTGGAGAATCTTCGCATAATCCTTTACTTGTTGAATCAATTATCAAGCTAATATGCCTCCATTATTTCTCTTCTCTTCTTAGTCCGAATTTTTCCCTACATTCAACAAGGAAATGTTGAAAAAAATTATTTCAGCAATTTAAAACAATTCCAGTAATTAGCAGCCTCCACAGTACTCGATTTCTCTTTAGATTATGCAATTATGTATAGGTTTGTCTAACTGAGCTCATCATTTAATTTTGAATCTAAAGATTCAACGAAAAATATATCTATATACTATTTTGTTCAATTTTTATTTGTTATGATTAGATGTTCGAAACTTCAAATCAAAAGTCTTCAAGTGATAACTCATTGACCGTCGTGAATATGCCACGTGAAGGAATGCAAATAGTTCAAATACAGATGACCGAACCAATAACATTACTCTTTGTTTTACGTAAACACTTTTGTTTCGCTTATTAAATTAATTTAATTTTTATATGTTTACTTTAAGATGGCATAATACTGACAAAAATTTAAACTAATTAAAATTTTTAAAATAAATTTTTATTTTTCATTACTTTCCATCAAATCTTTTTAATATCATTTTAACTCAAATAAATCTTTATTACTTTTCATTTTATATCTATTAGAACTAATGTCATTTTCGATCAAAAAAATAAAAAATGTTACATGTTAATATCATCATGTCACATTAATGTTACGTTATTATTAATTATGATATTTTAACATATCATATCAATATCACGCGATATATAATAATAAGTAACAAATCAACTATTAATCATAACGACTAATTTAACTCAAAATAAAAAAGATAGTTTATTTTGTTACAAGTAAAAGTATAAGAATTTAAATAAATGTAATAAAAATATAAAAATTTTTTAAAACATTTTTAATTAGTTTAGGAAAATTATATCCTTTTAAAATCTGGTGAGATTCATTATCGTTTTTGGACTTGTCTGTCATTGGACTTAGTTTAAAAGCCCAAACTTGGGTCCAATTTATGTGGGCGGAAGCTCCACTTCTAAAGAAAGCAACAGTAATGAGCCCAAGATAAAGGGTTAGTGTCCAACTAAGTTTGGGCATCTTGCCCCCACCTTGATTGAGGTCGATAGAGCTAATTTCTACATGCTTATAAATTATAATGCACGTTTGCTCAGCACAAATTCGAAGGACAAGGGAAGCAGGACATAAATAGCACCGTTATTGAATCAAGGCAAAAGTGTTTTGCAAATCTATCAGCCTCTTTTACCTGCTAGAAAATTTTGACAGAAATACCAACAAAAACGACAATACTTTTGACCCGTGAGAGCAAGTCTGTTTTGCCAGTTGATGTGGGCTAGCTGAGGACCTCAACCAATGAGGCCTTGATCGATTGGTGCCACTTGCAAAGTTACCCACTCCAAGGCACAAAAAACCAACAATGGTAAAATCATTTGGAAAGCATTAACTCCAAGTGTTAAACACAATTAGTATCCCGACATTAGGTTCCTAGAGCCAACAGATCTTTTGCATGCCTTGATTCCTGAGCTAACAATTTCCAGCGGCTGGTAACAATTAAAAACACTACTTCAGCAATTTTCACTATTTAAAACTTATAATAAGTTTATGTGTTAGACCGTTAGTAGTAGGGACATGTTGTTTGGACTGTCGAGGTACTGGAATTGAGTGTAATTAACTACGGAATATGGATTCTATTTCTCACTTAACAGTCTGAAAAGAGAAATTTGAAGGGAAAAGTGGGCATTGGAGAAAACAAAATAATAACAATTAACAGTAATAAATTTATTTACAAATATAACAGCAGATTAATACACAATATAAACTAAAATCTCCCTCACACAAGTGTTGAACATTGACAAGTAAGAGGGTCAAACAAGGCTGGTAACAAGTACTTTCTTCCATTGACACCTTGTGCATTGTAGCTAGCACCGGTGGTTCGATCCATTAAAAGCTCTCCAGCATAACCAGGGTACGCCCCTTTACCGTACACTCCAGGGCAAGCCGATGCAACCTCAAGCTCAGCGCCAGCTGAGCCCAGGAAATAGCCATTTCCAAAAGGATTCGTCACGGTCCCTGCCAACAGACTAGCTATGTTTATGATCATGCCATCTACACCCACGTCTCCATTGGGTGCACCAAGTGGCGCAGTTTGGGGTCCGTAAATAGGCTGATGGAATGGCCACGCGCATTGGCCTGGGCATTGAGTCACAGAGTTTCCAACCCAGATAAAGACGGATTTTACCTTGGCGTTTGAGCTGTGAAACCCGCAGTTACTCATGCAAAAGGCTTCGACAGACACGTCTTTGGCTGTAAGGACTATAGTTAATCCACCAGGTTTGGAGTGGACTCGCCTAGCCAACCTGGAAATTTGGGACTTTTTCAGAATTTTGCCAAGGGAGCAGTTCCTATCAGTGACTTGGTTTGCCAAGACAATACTGGTATCCTTTTTGCCAGCTTTTTTCATGTATGTTTGGATAGTGTTCCACCAATGAGAGACTAGGGGTTTTACAGAGGAGGGACCCAAGTTTTCCTTTTGTGGATTGAGAGAGAGCAGAAAATCAGCAATGATGGATTTCTGAGCTGGTGAGAATTCACCATACCAAAGAATGGAGACAGGAAGATTTCCATCAAGCAATGCCCCCTGGTGGTAACTCAAGGCCATGGTTGGTGCCTGGTATAGAGAGGTTAGCTTTCTTGCTCCAAAGCAAACATTAGCTAGGCTTAGGTGAATAAGTACAATGACAAGAGGGATTGTTTTGGCTAACTGATAGAAACCCATTTGAAAGACTTAAGAAATTTGTAGCCAAATGTTGAAAGATTCTGAAATTGCAAGTGACAAAGGGAGCTTGAATTTAATTTTGGGATACGAGTGAGGGGGTATATATAGGTGAGTTGGTTCATGCACTGGGAAAGTGGTAGGGGTTGCGCGGTAGCTTTCATTGGCAGCAACGCAGTTAAAATACAGAGATCACGAGAACCGGGAAAGGATAAGCTTGAGAGGGAGACATCTGGCGGGAATCTACCTTTAATTTTGAAGCATTTTATTTGCATGGAGATTAGGAGACTTAGCTAATGCTTACATCGATTTCACAGCTACCAAAATGGCAACCAATAAGGTCCCTACCAGAATGCATATGTTGACGGACAATGGGTTGGAGCAATGGGCAGCATGTGTTTTAAAGCTCTTACTTAGGCTGTTTCGCATTTCGATTCAATTCAGTTTTGTAGTTTTTGTTGGATCGATGCTCTTACCTTATTATTGTTGTTGTAAATGTTCCCCCCCTTCTTACATCATTTTGAATAGTTCTACCATCGTCCCATTTCCAGCTGCTGCGATCTGGTCCTCCCACATACAAATTAAATGGTAGTTGTTATTCTAGTGTTTGATCTCAGACCTGAAATACCCTGCTTCACTTGCTTCTCAAGGTAATGGATAACTAATTAAAATAAGTTGTTTAATGCTTATAATTTATAAAATCGATGTAAAACTTACCATGGCTGTTAAATTAAATTTTGTATGGGTGTTCTAGGTGCATTGCTCTATGCGAAAAGAATCTCTTAGGTTTTGCCCGTGTATGTAGGTAAGGTAGGTTTATCCTTTAATTTGTTTGCCCACAGCCCAAAGTGCAGTGTACTGTCACATCATGGGATTCCAGAACATTTGGTTGCTCAAACTGAACTTTAGGACGTAGAACCGGAGACTCCTCCTATCCCATGCTTGGTAGGGTCAGATGCCATGCCTGATATTGCTAGTGGCTCACCAGACATTTTATCAAACTTAATCATGAGCAACAATGGCCAAAACCATTGAGGCTCTCAACCTCCCAATCTTTCACAATTTATTGTCAATTAATGCAAGCATGTAGACATTGACTCTCTTATGCCGAAGGCCAGGTGCTTGGATCAGATAAGCATAAATAATAAGAAAAAAAAAATCACCATACCAATCCTTTACAATTAGAGTTCCCTCAAAAAATTACACTGGAAGTGGTGGCTTCACTATATGTTAGACCCTTAAGAGTAATTTTCCTACTCTACCCACCATACATCCAGTCGATTACTCTCGATTCAAGGCAGGAACCTCGATTTTCGACTCCTTTTCCTCTTTTCTTACTCTTATTAATTTCGCTGATCATAGAAAGATAATCAATGAAATCTGAATTACCGTTTTAAATATGATTTGATAACATAATTCAAATTATATATTAAATTATTAAAAATTTTTTAACTGATAATTTAAAATTGATATATACGAAAATAATTAAATTATTATATTGAACGACAAATCAACAATTTTCACTCAAATTGATCATGTTTTTATATTTTTATTGAATATTATGATTTTATTTTCTATGTAATGGATGGGTATCACATTATTTACTTTTTTGGCTTAATTGACCAAAATTAATTAGTTAGAGTTTCAAAGCATCACTCGTGCAGGCATGTAGTATTCAAAGTTTTGGGTGACCATGCTTGCAAGAAGGGGAACAAAGCAAGCTCATCAGCCTTCAGACAGGCTGGTTGCTCTGCTCGAGCTCTCCGGATGCTGCTGCTTGGCGGCATCCAAGGTGTACAAGTGAGCTGCTACAGGAATATAATACTAGTCATTTACAGATTTCTTCGATGGTTATGAATAAAAAACAGATGTCCACCAGCAAAAGCATCGACCGCAAATGAATATGCAATGCTGCGCTGGCTACCTTTTTTTAAACTTAAAAGTCTATAATAGCCTTAAAATATCTATGAATCCAAAGCGCAGCAAGTTCCCAACGCTGAATTCCAATTGCAGCCAAGCCAATAATTGAGTGATGAAATCTCTCTCATTGTAAAGTCAGCCTATAGATCGTAGACTCAAGCTGGAAAAATATGGAAGAGTTGACAAAATTATCATTTATATCAGTCTAGGCTCTACAGCAGTCCTTCCTGGAAGGCGTGAGTATTGACTTCGGAACATCTCAAAACGCTGGTTTCCAAAGTCTTCTACAGCTTTCAGCTCATAAAGTGCATAAAATGAAGGCGGATGGGAAGAAGGGGGGCAGGGATATGACACTCAGGCCAACATTAATATTAATATTCCTGTGTCATCTGTGCTTTACATATATTATCATCTTATCCTAGGCATATTTTTATCTTCCATGAACATGTACATGTTTCTACATTCAGCATATTGTCAAAGCAGCAGGATCATAATTAATCATACTCTCTCTCACTGCTGTAAGAGAATCAAACAGCAATACCAGAGGGAAATTAATTACCCATCTCACCTACTCCTTAACAGTTGCTTGAACGTTTTCAGCTCCAATCCATGATCTGTGTTGAAAGTTGAAACTGATTAGTACCCTAAATATCCCAAAACAAAGATACCCAAAATTTTGGTAAACGTAAGAGACAAATACAGCTATATAGGCCATCCAGATTGCAAAAAAAAGGAGAATCAATACGATATAGGGCATGGCAATTTAGTCAAAGATTTCATGGTCATAACATTACTTGAAGTTTTTGTTTTGTGATGGTTAATTTGATTTTGAATTACAGAAGGTTTAGATTCTAAAGGACCTGACTCGTGCAGCTACAAACTTAAACAATTTTGCAATATAAAAAGTGAAATATATATGTATATATAGGGAATGACATGTCTGCAAGTATGTAACAAGGCAGCTATTATCCAGTGATGAATTAAACTCCCCATCAGACAAGCTGCAGTACTACTTAATATGTTTTGAGCCTTTCGGGACTTTAGGGCATTGTAGGTAGACTCAGTGGCAACCAATTAAACAAATATTAATATAATTTAAAATAATTTTATATTGCATTAAGATATAAGAATCATGTGATTCAAGTAATTATACTTAACAAATTAGCATGCCTCGTGATTGCCAGGATTGGGATAATGTTTAAGCTCGTGAATTTAGGCTTTAGATAGGATGATGTAATTATATGTTTATTTATTTTAATTGTGTCTTGTAAGTGGTATCATCACCTTTTATATTTTTTAAAGGTCTGGAGATGAGTTTCTTCTTAAACTTTGCCCCATCATTTAGTCATTAATCATCTAAAAATGAAAAGAAGAAAAAGAAAATTAAGTTAAAGACTTAAAAGGTTACTGCTAATTAATGTTTATAAATTCCTAGGCTTGCAAACTAGTATTTGACAATTAAATTCATTCACAAATCAACTAACTGCCCATCGTACAAAGAATTCCTTGTTATTCATATACCACCAACCTCACACTCTGTATTCCCTTTTCAAGCGCCTTCGAATTTTGAAGTTCAAACTTTAAAAGCCAAAAACCAACGTTCAGCTGCAGATTCGCTTGCGAAACCAAGTACACGAGAAGTACGAACTTTTTTTTTCAAAAGGGTAAAAAGGGCTGTGCGGGCTGGCAATGGCTGGCCCTGGCGAACCACTGCAACTCCACAGCTGTACCCTGGCTCGTGTTAGCTTGATCCAGCTAAGCCTATTAACTAATCTCTTTTTCTCGCCTTCACGAGCCTTTTGTGCATTCCCTTCCCTCCCGTTTTTAAGAGCCGCAAGCGCGTAATCTCACGTGCCCGTCACCTAGGATACCCACGCTTCATCTCCTTGCCTACTCACTGACTGCCAGCTGGATCGGTCCACCCTTCCCAATAAAATTAACTCCAGCCTGTCTGCATAACGTTCATCTGCTTCATTTCCCGTATTTACCCTTCTCTTGTTCCATAATGTACTATAAAGCCAAGGCTGTTTTGGTCAAATAAAGGGTGAGGCTAACTATGACTAAGCTGTAATGCGTTTTGTTTTCTGCCGAACGAAAACAGCTCGCTCGCTTCCACAAGAAGCTTGCACACAAGAGCTTCCTTGGCATTGATCTCCACAGCCATACCTGATTGGTGCGTGGAGGCAAATGACCTGGAGAAAGTGTTTTCTCTTCTCCTTTTGGATTAATAACGCGCTTGGGGTGAACCGTTGGGTCTGTGTTGTAACTTACTGGCGAAGTCGCAACTCGAAAATGGGAAAAGCCCATCTTACTTCCACAAAATTTTATTGTCTGTTTCCCTGCAGGTTCCCTTCCTTCACTTAATCCCAAACGCTTTGTTTTTGTAATTCAAAAATTAATTAAAGTTCAATAAATAAACTCTTTTTTAGGCCTTTATATATACCCTTTTCCCCTCTCTCAATTCCACACCCAACACACAATACAAAGCTATCTCAGCTTGTTCTTGTCTATTCCTCTGCTTGATACTCTCCAAAATCAAAGCAGCATTTTTCCTGTCAAAGATGGCTTCTTTTGTTACTCAAAGTGTTCTTAAAATTTTCCTTTTGATCTCTTTGTTTCAAATCTCTTTGGCTGGAAGGAAGCTGAGTGAACTGGTGCAAGACCAGCCTCAGCTCCTGACATACCACAATGGCCCCCTCCTTTCAGGCAAAATTACAATCAATCTGATTTGGTATGGCAAGTTCAAGCCTTCCGAGAGGGCTATTGTCTCTGATTTTGTCACCTCCCTGTCGTCTACTACACCATCTCAAAACAACCAACCCTCGGTTGCCAAGTGGTGGAAAACCACCGAGAAATACTACCACCTCACCTCTAAGAAATCCTCTCTTTCCCTGTCTTTGGGAAAACAGATTCTTGATGAGAACTACTCGATTGGGAAGTCACTCAAAAACAAACAAATTGTGGAATTGGCCTCAAAGGGTGACGAAAAGAATGCTATTAACGTTGTCCTAACAGCATCTGATGTTGCTGTTGAAGGGTTTTGCATGAGCCGATGTGGTACTCATGGTTCTGCCTTGGGCTCAAACAAAGGTCACATTAAGGGCGACAAGTACTCCAAATTTGCTTACATTTGGGTTGGTAACTCCCAGACCCAGTGCCCTGGTCAATGCGCCTGGCCATTCCACCAGCCAATCTACGGACCACAAAACCCACCTTTGATTGCACCTAACAACAATGTGGGTCTTGATGGCATGGTGATCAACTTGGCTAGCCTGTTCGCCGGGACTGTCACGAACCCTTTTGGAAATGGTTACTTCCAGGGTCCAGCTGACGCACCATTGGAAGCTTCATCCGCTTGTCCTGGAATTTATGGCAAAGGGGCTTATCCAGGCTACGCAGGGAACCTTCTGGTAGACCCTACAACTGGTGCTAGCTACAATGCTCATGGCGACAATGGAAGGAAATACTTGCTTCCTGCTTTGTTTGATCCTGCTACATCATCTTGTTCAACTTTGGTCTAAAAGTTTGAAGCAGTGATTAGCAAATTAGTAATAGATGTACACGGTTTATAGAAGGATGTAATTCTTTTATTTGTTAATTAATTTTGCTTATGCGGATAATAATAGAGCAGCAAACTACTTTGGTTTGCTTTTTCTCATAATTGACAATTCTTATTTGTGTTCCAGTTTTCCATGAGACTATTGATTTTACTTGATTAATCTCTAATCAGCTGATTAACTGTCATTTTCTTAAGCGTTCCCAACGTATTTTTATGGTTTCATACAATTGGTACGAGAGTTGGTCAAGAATCTAGGCAAAATGTTACTCGGAAAATTTCGTTTCTGCTTTTCCAGTTATCTTGGCCCAGCTTAGGTAGAAACCAGATATGGGTGTTGGAATGTTGAGTGAAAAAAACCCCACAGTTGCCAGCAAATTTGGACCCTACTAGGAGCAATGGTCATTTTCAAGCAATTATAGACAATTATTCACGCAAGTGCTTTTTGGCCTAGCACATGTCTTGTCCTAAAGGTTTTAAACTATGTGCCTAACCTGGGAAAAGGAACATAAAAACCGATTCTGCTTTCGTCATGGCACAATATAATATGTGCTTAAAAGAGCTTAATATGAAGGGAAATTTCAAAGAAAACTGCACTTTGATCTGCGAATGATTAAATTTAAATTCAAAGCAGAAAGCATTAAGTCAAAACCATTAGTGCAAGATCCAAGGATGTTAATTTCTTTGCCTACAAACATATTTGAAGTTAGTTCAATTGAAAGAAAGCATTCATTTTTTTCTTTTTACCAAATAGCATCAGCTCTTTAATTGGGAGAAGTTCGTCTGGAGTTTAGATTCTGATGAATATAAGAGATCAGATTCACTTATGCTTAAGCTGCAAGGAATGCAAATTTTCAACCAAGGCATGATAGAAAACTGGTAAATTTCTAGCATCCGAGCAAGCAATTTCTTGAAGCATAGCTAGAAAACAAATTTACATATTATCATTACAGTAACACTGATCTAAGAATTGCCAATTGTTGCAAGAAAAATTGATACCAGTATTTAGAAAGTGATAGGAAAGAGTTGCCCTATTTAAACACGCAGCATTTACTTATGGTCAAGTGGGTTATAATTGGCCTAAAAGAGATTATAAGAGGTTTGGGGGGGTAAAACATTGGTATTGTTTATAAATGTTTTACACTTAGTGTAGCCATTTTCTTCCCAACAAATGAGAGTACAAAAACTCTCTTTCCAACCTCCACCTACCTTTTGAGCTAAACCCATATAATTCTTTCTTTCACCCTATGAAAGGTCACAAGTACGAGCCATTAATTGTATGTTGTTCTCATTTGAACACAATGGGCAGCTATATTTTGGAATGAGCTGTTACTACAAACACAATCAAAAACAATTTATAAACTTTTACAAGTTAGTTAGTTTATGTTTTTACCATGAATAAAGCGCATGATGTAGTATATATGTGCCAAAAATAAAACTGCACAATTTAGTAAACCTATGAACATTTGATGTGATCATATCTCTTTTCATAAAAATACATTATAAAAGCCCTAAATTTAAATGTTGATATGAGATATGGTAAATAAAGAGAAGTGAAAAGAGAAAAAAAAAAAGGAAATACTTCCATTATTATTTATCAACGCGGAAAAAATCTCGTCAATGAGAAAAAAAAGGTTTTGAAAACTTTAAATTTCAATTTCAAATGTCACGAATATAGATTTAATTCAATTTTATATTAATTAATTGATTTGTTTATTCATTTCTTTCATGGGTATAATATGTAATATACATTAAAGTTATTTGATGGTAATTGTGATTTCATGAAAAAATTATTTGTTTTTATGAAGAAAAAGAAAAAGAAAACCCTAGAAGACAATAATTTATGGATGTATATCTCCAAAATTTCTTGAATTTGGTGCATTTTGTAGAAAATATATAAACCATTTATATTATGATATTTTGATGGAAATCAAACAAATGCAATAACCACTACCTTTCATTAGAAAAAAAAAAACAGCAAAACATTAAACATCAGAAATCATTAAAGGTGTTTATATTCTGCAACACACAAGTTGCTACAATTTCATGCTACAGACCAACATGAGATGTTTTCTGTACTTAAACATTATTTTTGTTCTTAGGTTTTTGTTTCTCTCTGCGATTCACAGTTATGATAACTTGAGATTCCAGCAACTTGCACATTTGACAATCTGAAACCATCCCCCTTGGCTGCAGGATCTCACACATACAAAAATCATAACCAAAAAAAAAAAGGTCAAGAGGACATTATCTCGGTAACAATAAACATTTAAACATTCCTCATGCTTATGACGCGTCTTTCCTCTGACAATGGCACTCAATTTTGTCCTTTTCCTTTTCTCCTTAGGCACGTCTCTCTTTGTCATCATCCCCTCCTTAGCTGGCTCGAAACTGTATTCTTAAAGCATTGATTCGGTTGTGAGTGAAGCTATTGATTAAAACACAACGCGTCATTTGGCTGGCATGGCATCTCACTCCCCAGTTGTTACCTTTCTCTTTAACTTTCAGCCCTTTCCTAGCGCTTTCGACCCTCCAAATATCAGCACTATAAATACGCTCCCTCAATTCAGTTCTCTTCATCCCAAAGCTCAACAAACATTTCATCTCAGCTTCTCTCTTCATTCACTTCTCTTAGGTAAATAGTTTCATCAATCAAGTTCATCATGGTTTCTTTTGCTGCTTCCAATGTTGTTCTCTTTCTTGCTTTCTTGGTCTCTTTGCTTCATTTCAACACAGATGCAAGGAGGCTTTCCGAGTCGGATCAAGCCGAGCAGCCTTTGCTGTTCCAATACCACAACGGCCCTCTTCTAACTGGCAAAATCTCTGTTAATCTCATTTGGTATGGCAAGTTCAAGCCTTCTCAACGTGCAATTGTCTCCGATTTCGTCGCTTCCGTTACATCTTCCAAGCCTACAGTAGCCGAACCCTCTGTTTCTACCTGGTGGACAGCCACAGAAAAATACTATCAGCTCAGCAAGAAACCTTCTTCTCTTGCCCTTTCATTGGGTACACAAATCCTTGATGAGAACTACTCTTTGGGAAAGTCACTCACAAATCAACAAATCATAGAATTAGCATCAAAGGGCGCCCAGAAGAATGCCATTAATGTTGTCTTGACATCAGCTGATGTGGCTGTTGAAGGGTTCTGCTCAAGCAGGTGTGGCACCCATGGTTCATCTCTGGGCACAAGCAATGGTCAGATTAAGGGCAAGAGCTCCAAATTTGCTTACATTTGGGTTGGTAACTCAGAAACCCAATGCCCTGGTCAATGCGCCTGGCCATTCCACCAGCCCATTTATGGACCACAGAACCCACCTTTGGTTGCACCCAACAATGATGTCGGCCTTGACGGGATGGTCATCAACTTGGCTAGCCTCTTGGCTGGGACTGCCACGAACCCATTCGGAAATGGCTACTATCAGGGTCCGAAAGAGGCACCCCTGGAGGCTGCATCTGCCTGCCCTGGGATTTATGGTAAAGGGGCTTATCCAGGCTATGCCGGAGACCTGCCTGTAGACGCTACAACCGGAGCCAGCTACAACGCACATGGTGTCAATGGCAGGAAGTACCTGCTTCCTGCCTTATTTGACCCTTCAACCTCAACTTGTTCTACTCTGGCTTAAAAACGACGATCGTAAGACATGCGAAGATGTCAGTGTATAAATTATATGTTAGGCGGTATAATTTTGTGAGAGATTCTTTTATTGTATTATTGGATTATTCTTTTTCTATCCCTGCTGAATAAGAGATTCACAGTTAAATGTTCTCCTTATCTTATACTCTGGGTGGTGCATTTCCTCTAATGCTCATTGTTTACACCGAACTGGATACATATAGATCTTTTTTGGTACAAGAATAAATATAGATCTAAAACGGGAATAGTATGAACTAGCCAAGTTGAAAAAAGAATCCAAGACGTGTGAAATTTTGACTTGCATTGTTGGAGGAACCGATGAAAGATTGGGCTTCATTGCTAGAAGGCAGTTCCTTGAACAATATCAATTTCTTAGGGCCCTTGATAAGAGGAAAGTACATCTGTTCCGAGGGCAGGCACTTAAGCATGTAGTACAAAAAATCTGGAAGGGCTGTTTATCGACAGTAGATGTTTCCTGAACGAGAGTACGTTGTGTTAAGGATATCTTTCAAACATTCGATGGGACTTGGGCTAATTAAATGACAAGTGCAGGGCAAAGATGCCACACATGCAGAGTCAGGAAAATTGCTTTGCGGTCACCGCTTAATTAAGGCAATTTAATTTATTGGCTTTTGAATATGATATCGTGGTACCGGACTTCTCCTTTTGCCAGCTGTTATTGCCTTGTGGAGATCTGTTTTGCTCGAGAAACTTAAGAAGAATTGTTTCCAAGGCCCATGTGTATGTGTACTTCTACAGGCTTCTATTCTTTTCTCGCTTCCATTTCCCACAGCGATAGACCCTCTGCCAGTCCTAAGTAGTCTACTTCTTTTTTATTTTTTTATTTTTGGCCTTTAGCAAGATCTTTTGCCTTATATCGTTAACTATTACCATAGTTATTCAAGTAAACGACATGAGTGGTAGTCTGGTAGACATATATACTAATCGTAGTTTGGAAATCTTTTGCCATAAGTCTTAGAGTGCTGAGAATTGAACCATTCTGAATCAGTCTCCATCAATCTTCAACAATCAGCACCCTTCTATTTAATTTAATTTATTTTTCAGCAAATTCATATGAAATTTAAAAATGGGATTTAAACTTTAAAGTCACTATAAATTGGTTTTGTTACCTATTTATACACTTTGTAAACTTTCTACACAAGCATGAAATATTTCATGAAAAAGAAAGGAAATGTTTTATTTTTTAGATTTAAATTGAATTTCATAAATTTTAAATTCAATATGTCTTTCGAATTCAATGCACGTAAAATATATCCATGTATATATGTGTATCTTAGCAAATAATGCAAAGTATTTATCATCCTAGCTAGCAATTAAATTTTTGAGCTGTAGCAGAAATTAAGGGCATTTATTCATTGAAAACGAAAACAAAAGGAAAAACCAAGTTTTGATCATGTAGCTAAAGCCGTCAAGAATTACACTTTCCTTTCGTCCTTTAAGAGGTCGAATGAATTAATAGGGCCCCAAGCCAACCCAAGGAGCGCCCTTTCCCTGTCAACATACTCGTCACTGTCCAAGACCACTATACACAAAAACGCACACATTCACTTAACGGTCACGCCCCGTCTTTACGCCATACGCTTAGGCACAGCCCAAACAGCACCAGCACGCCGACCATCCACTCCATGACTTTCACGACAAGTCCGCCGAAGATGCACCCTCTCCCACACGTGAGCTTTGCCTTAACCAAATAATAACATTACTCCTTTACATTGTGTCAAAGAAAAGATGAGTGTAGCTTTCCGACCTTTTTCTATGGTGTTAGTGCCTATGCCTTTGCCACCCACGAAATCTTCCAATTGATGCTTCCGATTTCAACTGTTGACGACTTGTTTTTTAGTTTCGCAATGGGCCAATGACTTACCTGACCTCAATATGGTCCAAAGTAAGGAGTTTGGTGTTTCATATTATCATCAGTCTGCATGTCACATTCAAGAACAAAATCATTGATCAACTGAAATTGAAAATAAATAAAGATGGTTCTTTGAGCTTTGAATTTTAGCATCTTAACCAAACGTTTTGGCATTTATATTGCAAAATTGTTGTCTCATTAGGGATAGAAGCGAAGAAAGTTATAATCAACAAAATAACAATCCGCCATTGGTGCACTACCCTTGTTTTTTTTAAGGCATTTGGTGTTATATCCAAGAAAGAAATAGAATAAATTCAAGACAAACCCATTTGTTCTGGCTAAAAATGATAATAAATTTCAATCAGATTTAATGGTTAAAACTATTATAAATTACAAACTCATTATTTAGCAATTAAAATTAAGTAACGACACCAATAATAATAATAATAATAACTCTTTATCACTCTACCAATATATATGGATATATCATGTAACAAATCAAGATAGGAAACCTACCCAATTAGCATTCTATTGATAATTTTTTTAGGAACACTTTTCCATATATATTGAGGAATAGTTTATTTGTCTGTTTGTTTTTTAAATTACCTTAAAGCAGAGCACCAGCACCACCACCACCATCAAAAGTTATGGTGCATGTCTCTTAATTTGCCTACCACCTTATCCCATTACTTATAATATGTATTTGCAGCAACCTACGCATGCAAAGAGGCTACATTGCATATTTTTTATTTTTGTTTCTTTGCAAGGCACAACATTAGCTCATATTATATACTTTTTAGGCCACAACAACTTATATAAACTATGGGGATCAATCGGGCAATTGTTATTGTAAGGTAGAATAATGAGGAATAAAATAAAACCAAACCACAAATTAAACCATTATCATCATCTTTGCTTTAAAACCTGAGCATCGGCCATCAGATTTCACTTTTCAACAAATCATTAATCTCAAAATAATGCACCCCAAACCTCTCTAATTGCAGTTTTTGGCCCCATCCACAGGGGTATCAATCGTTTGAAAAAAGATCACCCACTTGATAAAGTTAGCCATCCGCGATCACTCACTACTTTGACAAAAAGGGGATTTTTACATTTTAGAATAGACCCAATTCGATGCTTTAATCATTGGATTCAACCTCATACTGCGGAAAATAATTACTTTGGCTTTTATAATCCCTGGAAACTTAAAAATGTAACCCCTTTTTCTAGATTAATCCACTAGTCCTTTAGAATTAAAACTAGCTGGAAAGCACCACATGGTTACATAAGTAAGGTGTGATTAAATTATTGCTTGAACAGTTTAATTAAAAGATTGATTCGTAGATTAAAGCAGGTGTTTTAAATTAGTCAATGGGTTGTTGAAAGTAAAAATATTGTATGGAAATCTGCCTACCAGCTAGTCCTGTCCATTGATCACCTAGGACGACTACTCATACTAATTCTATTGAAAGAGGCCGGTGCCAAATTAGCTTTCATTAGTTCGTAGCAATGCACCCAAAAAAGTAAAAAATAAAATAAAATATAAAAAACTCGATAGGAATGGAATGGGTTGTATTTGAAGAACTAACAATCTTTTTCAGTGTATAGCAATATGGAAGTAGTCAATGCTTCTTGACTTGGATTTGGAATATGTCGGTGTAATTCATTAACAAGTCAGCTTAAAGGCCTAATTCATCAATGCGTGAGAGGCAAAGACAGTTGTAAAGTAAATACGTACCCAACAGGAACCCCAGCGCGTATGGCAGCTTGATAACGAAAATGAGACGATTAACTCTATCCGCGTAAAGCATTGAAATTTTTCTGCTGTAATTAATGTTAGATATTACATATATTAGGCACCTATGACCTTCATGAACAGAAATTCTCCAAGTTCGTAATCTGATTGTTCCAACTAGAAACTACAAACTTTAAAAGTAACCTCTAATAGTAATTCCACAGTCCAATCACTGAAATAGTACCTTCTTTTTGGATTTGAAGAGGGCTCGGGGCATGCCTCAAACATGGTTAATTGAAGGAGTTAAATCGTCACACGTACTGACTTGATACTAAAATGTAATTTGATCTAATGCTATATTTATTAAAAATTCATATATTATATCATCTTATTTTTTATTTAAAATAAATAAAAAATAATATCAAAATAACACGTGAAAATGTAATTCTCATAATAACACTTAATAAAATTAATTTATTGTATTTGAGAGAATTCTTGAAAGTATTGTACCAACAAAATATTAAAAGATCATGTCCACAAAAAAATTCGTCAAATGATTGAATTTTATTTGCTAAACACAAAACTAATATAAATAATTTTTATACGATTAAAAAGGGTTCCTTAATTAAGCATTGATATACGTATTATTCTAAAATCAATGTTACTAATCTTATTTAAAAGGAATAAAATATGGATAATGATCTCCTTTTAACTACAGAAAATAGACAAATTAAAGCAACCTGTTGGTTGCTGGAACACCCGTGAGAGAAGGACGCCGAAAGGAAGAAGCAATGAGCATGCATGTCTCCAAACATAGTGGTCACTTGCGTCATCACCATCAACTTATGCACTGAATTTACTAAAAGGTTCCATTAAAGAGTGTTTATTAGCAGTATTTAATTAAGAATAATTTTAAAATATTATTTCACAAAAATAATTATTTAAAAGAAACAATTTTTCTTTTCTTGAATATTATCTTAAGCAATCATACGCCGAAAACCTATGAACATTTCTGTTACTAAAATTCTCAAAGCAAATGCCCCTCTCCAAGTCCGCACCTCCCCTTAATAAAGACGTCACAAACAAAGAGTAGTCACGTTGGTCGTGTTTTATTATTCCTCCAGCCATCTTTATGACGGGAAAGAGTCAAACCCTACGCGGCTCCATTTTAAACCAAGAAATCTGTTTCTTTCCCTTCCCCCACCGCACCCCCGACCCCTATATGTATACGCTTCGCTCCTTTTCACAACTCCCAAACCATAAAAATTCCATTAGCTCAATTAATTTTCATGGCTGCCATTCCTTTCTTTTCTCTTCTTTTGCTCCTTTTCTCCTTGGCTTTGCCCAGTCCTAGCTTAGCCACCAATAGAAAACTATCAGCTCTTGTTCAAGAGCAACCCCTTGTTCTAAAATACCACCACGGTCCCCTCCTTAAGGGTAATATAACTGTTAATCTTATTTGGTATGGCAAGTTCTCCTCTACACAGCGTTCCATCATCGTCGACTTTTTAAACTCTCTCAGCTCCTCCAAAACGACGTCGCCCTCTGTCTCGTCGTGGTGGCAAACGACTGGCAAGTACAGGGGAGGTTCGAGCAGAGTCGTTGTAGGGAAACAAATTCTCGATGAGAAGTACTCTTTTGGGAAAGCTCTTAAAACTATCCAACTTGTAGCTATGGCTTCCAAACCTGGCTATGGAGGTAGTAACGTAGTCAACGTTGTGTTGACTTCCGCTGACGTGGCGGTTGATGGTTTCTGCATGAGCAGGTGCGGGACACATGGTTCTGGTCGGGTTAAGAAGAACAGGTTCGCTTACGCTTGGGTGGGTAACTCGGTAAGTCAGTGTCCGGGTTATTGCGCGTGGCCGTTTCAGCAACCCGTGTACGGGCCACAAACTCCACCGTTGATTGCTCCTAACGGAGACGTAGGCGTTGACGGAATGGTGATCAATTTGGCAACGGTTTTGGCGGGAACCGTGACGAATCCGTTCAATAACGGGTACTTCCAAGGGCCAGCTGAAGCGCCTCTGGAGGCCGTCAGCGCGTGTACGGGGATATTCGGGAAAGGAGCATACCCGGGGTATCCTGGAGAGGTTTTGGTAGATAAAACGACGGGTGCTAGCTACAACGCGGCTGGCGTTAACGGGCGTAAGTATTTACTCCCGGCGATGTGGGATCCTCAAACACATACGTGCAAAACACAGGTGTGAGCAAACGAACCTGACATGGAAAATGGGGATATTTTGATGTTATTATGTATATGAGCTCCGTATAAACATGTTGTGGGATGATATTGGAATACTTAAGGTCTTTTTTTTTTTTTTCTGTTCTTTTTAATTGAGTGACCTTTGTATATCCCTTTTTACAATTAAAGAAAGAAAAAAGATTGGAAAAAAGAGAAATCGCGTTATCTACCCAGGTTCAACAAGGTTGAAGCCCTCCCTTGGTCTTGACATCATTCTCATTGAGGTCCTGGGATCGAGAGCTCCCAGAAGATTTGACTGAAAACTCATGCAAAAATTAGTTTCATCAGAATTGAAAGCAGAAAACTAACGAGAGCGGATGAACATTTAACATTACAATGCTATTTGCTTCAGTGCTAACTGCTAAGGAATGTTGCTTCTAAGTATTATTTTAAGCTGCTGGATTAGAGGGATCTAAGAGCTGTTGGGCTTGAAACCATGAACAAAATTTCTAGTGCATGAAATATTCGCACCACAAATTGGGCCTAGCTGTTTTGAAATTTTTTTCACTGCAGCCGAACAGATCTTTTTTATGCATGTTATTATCCCACAAGGGATGGGTTGTCATGGGTATTGCTTGAGCATGTTTAATTTGATTTTTTTTTTTAAATTTAAAAGGTATTATGAAATTTTTTAAAAAAAGAATAATTTTAAAAATTAAATTAGAACTATTTAATAATTTCTTTTTTATAAATAATTTATTTGATAAACTAATTTATATAATTTTTAATTTTGATAAAAATTATCATAAATGACATCGATTGAGAGAGGGATACTTTTAAAAAAATATATATTTAGATTATTTTTAAAAATGAGAACATTTTTTGAACAAGCAGTTAAAATTTTTTAAAAAATTGATATATTTTTAAAAAGAAAAAAAGAAAAGTTCATTTCTCAAACTTTTTCTTTAATTTTTTTTTATTTTGTTCTTTGAAAAAAATTTATTTTAAGAGTTTTTGAAAATCTGATTTAACTTGACTTTTACTTTTAAAAGATAAATAAATTGAAAGAAAAAAACAGAGTCAACATACAATTAATTTAATTATAAAGAAGTTAATTCGGGACAATTTAAGCTCTTTAAGCTACCTATATTTCTTTACTGCATACCATGTTTTAGCCGAAATTCTTGAAATACCACTATTTTCATATTTTGAGATAAGATTCTTGAAAGACTTTTAAAATATTAAAAAAAGATAAAAAGTGGCAAAGTTTGAGAAGAGGCTCCAAAGCAATTGTTTCTATTCATAAGTCATTCGTCTCAAGTGTAAATAATACTTGAATGTGGATATTACCGTAGGATATGCTAACATCGTTTAAGAGTTTAAATTGTCCACGGCTCCAATTGAAGGCCCGGCTCAGAAAATTTATGAACCAGGCGGGTTCATGTGACGTCCTCGTTACCAAAACCTAGCCCAAAGACGTGTTAAATATTTGGGCTGGGAAAGACGCATAACGGCGCAACCGAGTTCTCGCTTTCACATTGCAGATCCCGCACGCAAATTTGCGCCCAAGAAGGTCCAATATCGACTGCCATGGAACACTCGCAACGAGAACATTTTCATTTCAGAAAAGCACCTCTCTAGTTTCAACTCTACCACCCCGCAAGGAGCAAGCCATTATCGCATCTCTACTCTGAACACTTTCCCTTACCAAAATGGAACCGCCACCGCCGCGAGCCCCACAAGACCAATCTTCCCACACTCACTCTCATCCCTCCACCACCACCATCCCCACCACAGGAACTTGCTGCAAATGCGGCGGCACAACGACCTTCGCGCCACCACCCCAGTACCCAACTTCCATGCCCGACCTTTCCTCTCCCCCTACATACCGACCCATTCGTGCCCCGGCCATAAACGTCCCTCCGAACAACCAGTCCCAAGCCATAATCCTCGCACCCGTGCCTCAATCCCAAAAGGTCCCCATCATCACCCCTCCTTTCCAATTCCAAACGCCAACCAAAATAATCACGTCCCCCGACGACATCCGTCGATTCCACGACTCCCCAACTTCCAAAAACTTCCTCGGCTTCTTCGTCGCCTTATCCGAATCCATCCGTGGCCATAAAATCTCCGATCCACTTCACGAATCCCCCACTGTCACCAAAATTGTATCCATCGTCGAAACCCTATCTCTCTGGATCGACCAAATCGCACCCGTTCAACAATCTTCTCGTTACGGCAACATATCTTACCGAACCTGGCACGAACGCTTAACCGAAAACGCTGAATCCCTCATGCTCCAGTTTCTTCCCGACGACCTCAAACCTTCGACTATCGAAATCGTCCCTTATTTCACCGACAGTTTCGGAAACTCAAGCCGAATCGATTACGGAACGGGACACGAAACCAATTTCGCGGCCTGGTTATATTGCTTAGCCAGAATAGGAATCATAAACGAAGAAGATTACCAAGGCGTGGTGGCTAGGGTTTTTGTCAAATATTTAGACTTAATGAGGAAGCTTCAGCTTGTTTACTGCTTGGAACCCGCGGGGTCCCACGGGGTTTGGGGTTTGGATGATTACCATTTCCTGCCGTTTATATTTGGGAGTTCGCAGTTGATTGATCATAAGTATATGAAGCCAAAATCCATTCATAATGAGGATATTTTGGAGAATTTTTCGAGTGAGTATATGTATCTTTCGTGTATTGGGTTTATAAAGAAGGTGAAAAAGGGTCTGTTTGCGGAGCATTCCCCGCTGTTGGATGATATAAGTGGAGTGCCTAATTGGAATAAAGTGAATAGTGGTTTGCTTAAGATGTACAAATTTGAAGTGCTCGAAAAGGTTCCTATTATGCAGCATTTCCTCTTTGGATGGCTCATTAAGTGGTGAGTTTGTATTTTTTTAATCTTTTTGGGTTTAATTGTTTGTTAATGAAATATAGATTGCGTGTAATGATCGTTTTGTTTTGTTTGATTTGAATACACTGTTAATCAATAATCATAGTCTGCTGCATCTTACTGGAAATGTTCCGTTCTAGTTGCTGCAAACAAACCATAAAGAGCCCTTTTTTTTTCTTCTGATGGTGTCCTTTTCGTATGGGCACTGATAGCCTGCTTGCAGTTTGTAGAAACTTTTATGTGTTTATTCATGGGTACAGGATACATAAGGGTACAACAATACAAGCCTTGACATTGCTTATAGTATCATGGTTAGCATTGCTCAGTGTCCAAGAACTGTCTGTTGTTAAATTAATCTAGTTTGCATGAATCTGTCTATCAAAAGTGCCCCTTGCCTTACAAAAGATATGCAATGGATTGATTACTGCCATTTGATCGTGAGGATGGTGCCATTACTTGGAAATGGCATTTCAGAACTGCAACACAAGGCGTCCATTGTTGATTAATACCTAAGTTACTGTCAAGAGGTCCATGCAGGGCAGAGAAAGCATGTATAGCATAGAGATTACTTTCTATGTCCTTTCAGTAGATGGTTATTGGCCTCCTTGGAAGCAGACTTCGGTGACTTTGATCCTTTAAAAGCTGGCAATGTCACCAGGCGCATGGTTATCAAATTCGTGCCTTTCAATAGATCTGTGCTATGTTGAATATTTTAACCACATTGCCAAGCAACACTTACGACTCTAACCTCATCACAGAAGTCTCCACGAATTAATACCAGTACCTACTCATATCAAAGTAGTTGCCGGAAGGATTGATCTTTGCTTTTTAGTTTTCCTAGCGTAAAATGATGGAACCAATATGAGAAACTGGCTTGAGTCATTTGGACTATTGATTACTAGGTGTGTGAAACTGAATTATCCCCTTGTCTTTGCTTGTGTGATTAATCACCTTTTTGCCTTTACTGTATGTTTTACCCTACGATCTTCTCTTGCTGTCATTATCAAGGAATGTGTATTTATTTATCCATCTGTATTTTTTGTTTCTGTATATACATCACATATTGGGCCTTATGATTGCATTTGGTAAAGTCATGATATTGTAATGCTTTGTAGAAATCAAATCTATTCATGGGTCCTGAAGGCCTATAAGTTCTTGTATTCAGGAACACGATCAACAGTACTCTGTAGTGAGAATTTCTGTATTAGCTATCTAACATGCCTAGTAGAACCTTTTTTGAGAATGTTCCTGTTATTGGGATTGTGCTACAACAAGTACACACTCCTATTGAATTGTGCTACATTAGCTTAAAATTTTGAGCCATATGAGATAGGTGATGAAAATTTGGTTCAGGCCAATCTTTTCCTCCATTGGTGATGCTGTCTCGTGAAGCCATTTAAGGTGGAGAACTCATCTTTCCTGGACATTTTTGGATGCTTTCTAGATTACATTGAAGTACATGTTCGTATAACTCAACTAAATGATTTGTTTTAAGGGTAGGGCTTAACTAATGGACTCTGTTAAATTGATTTATCAAAGCTTTCAGCCTTCATGCTTGTTGCTGGTGTTTGCACTTTGCTCCTTTTGTCCATTTGATTTAATGTCCAGAAAATTCTTGTTCATCAGTGACATAAATTCTTGAATGTTTTAGGTTGTATGACTTGGAAATTACAAGATGCTTACTTGTCTTTAAGCTAGGTGCTATAAGCTTTGTTTTATGGCGTGTCATTATCTTGTTGTTAGATTATGGTTGGGATTAAGAAGATGCCAATGTTTCATTAAAATTTGTCTTAAGCTCTTAACTGATTCCTTTCGATTTTCTATTAAATTTTCACAGGGAATAATTTTGGTATTGTCTTTATGGAGACACATACTGTGGAACCAAGGGAATTCTAATGTCCTCCAGATTTCATGGACAGCTGTAGCATTAGAAAATTATCCCATTCGGAGTATAATATCAATCGTACCATGAATTCTTTGAGTTGCTTCTTTTTTTCGTTACTGCCCCTTCTAATTAGCTATGCCAGGTGGAGTCTTGTGTTACTGCTCCCCCTTTTTTTGTTTGTTTATGATATTTGGTCTTTTGATGACAGGCCACAGCTTTTGTTAAATGCTTAATGTGATGAAGCTTCTGTTTCGCTATATTTATGTACAGCAAGAAGTGCACAAGTTTTTTTGGAAATTAAGGGACTCATGCCATAACAGTCACTCTCATTTTATAAATTCACCGTCCTATTTGTAACCCTTCATAGCTTTTTAAGGAGTACCAGAAACCTACTCTTTTGCTTATGTAATACATGTTATTTAAAGAGAAAATGACCAGAGACTAGTGAAAAAGGGTAAAAGCAAATTTGTCTTAGATCTGTGCCCAAACTTTCCTTTGCTCTCGTCACAAAATCTACTTATTGATTCAACCAAGTTATCTTGGACTGAGATTAGAAATGTAACAATCAAGCGACTAATTGGGTGCATGAAATAAAATCAACCACTTTTATAGGCAAAGAAGAAGAAACAGGGAATAAAACGAATGCAAAATCGAGGCAATCCACGCCCAAGAAGTCAGTACAAACTCAGAAAATAAACTTTGACGTCAGCAAGCAGACGAAAGAATGGAAAATTTAGGTAGTCTTTTCAATAGAATAGAGTAAAATCCACTGCAACAACCACCTTCTATATTTATTCTCTCCCATCTTTGCATTGGTTTTGCTCTCGAATTGGCTTCATGAGTCTAATATTCAAGAACCACAAAACTCTGACCATATTGGGAGTACCTTCATTTTTCCATTGAGGCTGCCTTCTCCTGACTTCAACCCTTTTTGCTTTATTTGTGATCAGGATGACAATAAGTAATTAAGAATATAATTTTATAAGTAATAGGGCTATAATTATGAAACAGGGTAAAAGAGTTGCCGATATAATTTATCAAAATTTTTGTGGCTAATAGATGTCCATCAACATTTCATGGTTTCCATGACAACTCGCAATGTGTGGAACTTGTATCCTCGTTGGGATTCAGGTAGTTTGGTATAAGTTTGGTGTTTTAAATTGCTTCTTGTTGGAGATTTATGTGCCAACCATTTCCGGATCATCCAATGGCCAAGCCCTCCAGATTTAAATGTGAGTAATCAAATATTCCAGTCCGATGCCTGTCAGTCCGTCAGCTTCCTAGATGAGACTAAATTCTGCATGTGTAAACTGCTAGGATGTGGACTCATCAGGTTGAACGTTCCGTAAAAAAGACAAGCACGAAATTACACTGGCAGCTACGTATCATCATATTCTCTATATTACATCACATTCATGTCACCTTCCCCTCTGCTCTCTCGAGCTTCTGTATCCTTCCGTCGAGGAAAAAGAAGATTTAAAAAAAAAAATTAGATTGATGGGATGGGTTTAACCTTTTTTAAGTTGAAATCTCATAGCCCTTTACATGTAGCTATTCCACCAAACACCCACAATCGAGACTCAACCTTACTATGAGCTGCCAATTGAATTAACTCTCTTCTCCTCAATCTCAAAACCTCATCTGCAAACCTTCAACCGGTGTCAGAATTAAAAGAAAAAACAAACAATTATTGTTACCTCAAAGATCTCTCAGAAAGGTCAAGATAGATTTCCAATACAGAAAGCGTTGGAACCAGAAGCTTTCAAATCCAGAGGCATGGGTCAATAAGCCCAAGCTTAGGCAAGCCTAACCACTAACAACCTTTACCTCTTCAGTCCACTAACCAACCGACTCGTGTCGGTAGCACCAGCTTTTTCTTCAACTCCCGATCACTGCCTTTCTTACAACGCACACAAAATATCTAAACGCTTTTAGTCATGTTCGAACAATTACCTTTCACTTTCAGTTCAAAATGACATAAATGTATGGCATGAAACCAATGCCTTAGCTATTCAAAACCTGTCATTAACAAACCCAATTTTCGCAGTAAAAGCTACCCTTCCTTCCTATTCTCTCTATTCTTCTTCTTCTTCTTCTTCTGTAAGTAAAGAGTAAATATATATCTATATCTATATATATATATGTCCCAGCTTTCCTGTGTTTTAACCACATATGTACGTATCAGTAATTCCTTTTTCCTTTTTTTATCACTTTGGTTTTACTCTTGGTTGCTTGTTTCTTCTTTGTTGGCTGCATTGATGCCGTGGTTAGGTGGATAGATAGGACTTGTTTTTATTGCTTTCTTTTATTTTCCTTCTTTTCTTTTCTCTGTTTCTCTCCTCTCTTTTTTCACCCGGGGTTTGAGGCGGATAAACTGGGGTCTCTTTTGCATAATCCAAATTGCAAACCAAGGCAAAAGTAAGTTGCAAGGGAAAGTGAAGTTAGGTAACCCACCTTTGATTTTATCTTCTTTTATTTCATTTTTTTCAGTTCTTCTTTGTTTGTTTCTTGAAAAACTAGAGCGAAAGTACAGAAATTTTGATACTTGGAGCTTAGTGTTTCACGTTTATGCGGTTTGCCAAGTATGAGAGTACACTATTTCTGAGCTGTTTCTTAGATCCTAAATCCAAAGAGTAAATCTTTCGTTTCATTTACTCTTTTTTTTTTTCACCAACGCAGCATTAGTATTAACTCCTTCAGACGAGTTGTTCTTGTACACGTTATTTGTTCCTTGTTATGCATGTACCGATTCTTCTGTAATTGATTATCTTTCCTTTCTCTGGGCTGTGACCATGGTCGACATGGCCTTTGAACTTTTAGCAGGAAATTTTCTTTTTTTTTTTCTGGACTTTTTGGATCTATAAAATTGTTTCATAATTTGCTGGGTGTGTACAGTATTCTTCTCCAAATTATTTTGTCCTTTTGTTTCTGTTTTTAAACTTGTTAGGAAAACAATTTCTCTCTTCTTTAAGGTGTGGATGAAATTTTGTGTTACGTTACTCTTTTTTTTTTCAATTTTGGTAACATGTATACTCTCTAAATCTCCCATTTACAGCACTGTTTATCTCTGCATTTTGTTCTGTCATTGTGAAATCTTTTATTTTTTCTCTTTCTAATTTCTTTCTCTGTCTTCTTAGATTTTAGCGTTAATCGATATTTCTTCTCCATTGGTTTATGGAAAGTGATTATTAATACCATACTTAAGCTTGTCCAATCGTCAATCAAGTTTCTGTATGCAGATTCATTTTGTCTATTTAGAGGGTCCTAATGCAATTAACTAGATAACGTAGAAATTGCATTTTCTTCTTTTTTCTTTTTTTTAAGTTATTGAAGTTTCTTATTTGTGTTTCAATTTTTGCCCCTCATTACCTGAAAGAAGATCAGATGGAAGAGCAAAGTGATTTTCGGCGTTGGGATGAACTAATTCCTGATGCGCTGGGGCTAATCTTCAGGAACCTGTCCCTCCAAGAGGTACTAACAGTGATTCCCAGTGTCTGCAAATCCTGGAGAAAGGCAGTGACAGGTCCCTACTGTTGGCAAGAGATAGACGTCGAAGAATGGAGCAATCGATGTCAGCCTGACCATCTTGATCGGATGCTCCGCATGCTGATCACAAGAAGCAGTGGATCTCTCCGCAAGCTATGTGTTTCAGGCCTTCAGAATGATACGGTTTTCTCATTCATTACAGAGAAGTAAGTTCGCCTGCTCTTTCCTATTTCAGTAATTGCATTTGTCAGTAGTCTAGTGAGTCTGGATCATTTATGAGAACTTTTTCTACCATTAATTCTTAAATATGTGGTTTGCTTTCATGATTTGTTGAGTTAGATTACAGTAATATGATCCAGTTCACATACAGTATTAATTCTCTCTTTTGGTTGGCTGCACATTACTAGTTTGAACAGCAATTTCAGTATTCATGATAAGATTTCCAATGACAGAATTGTAGTATCTTTAAGAAACACAGGATCACACTTTCCCTCTCCTTTAGGGGATCATTGTTCAATTGACACTTTAAAGTGATAAGGTATATTTTTTCCTTGCTTTTGCAAGTGCGAGTTCCCTTCGGGCTTTGCGACTGCCAAGGGGTGAAATGAGTGATTCAATAGTTGAACAAACTGCTGGAAGGCTTTCCACAATCACTTTTTTGGATTTGAGTTACTGTGGCAAAATTGGTGCACGTGCTTTAGAGGCCATTGGAAAGCACTGCAAACTGCTTGTTAGTCTGTGCCGCAACATGCATCCACTGGATACAGCAGGCAAGATCTCGCAGGATGATGAGGCAAATGCCATCGCTGCTGCAATGCCTAGGCTCAAGCGCCTTGAGATGGCATATCATCTTATCAGCACAGGAAGTATTCTGAAGATCCTTTCTAGCTGCCCTCAGCTTGACTTTTTGGATTTAAGAGGTTGTTGGGATGTGAAACTTGATGCTCAGTTCCTGAAGGAGAAGTTCCCAAAATTGAAGATATTGGGGCCCCTAGTCATGGACTGTTACGAGATGGATGAATGGGATGATTGCTCAGACTACTCTGATAGTTCTGAGTATTTGGCTTGGGAGTTCCTAGCTGGTGAAATGGGTGACTATGATGATTATGACATCTATGACGGAATGTGGCATGATGAGGGGAGGCTGGAGGAACTTGAGCTAAGGTTCTATGAAGGAATTGGTGAGGATGCTGGAATGTTTGGTTGGCCTCCATCTCCTTAGCTTCCTCTTTCTTCCATGCCCTATCTTTACTATTGCATAGATGCTTCTAAATTTGAAACCATGTGTTTCTATGGAAATATATCTTATGTTTCAATGTGAACTTAGAAGTTGTGTGGCTTGCATCTTTTGATTTTCTTGATTAACTAAAGATTGCCTTGTATAGTATATATCCTCTGCTGATAGCATCAATCACAGAGAGTTCATAATCTGATTTTAACTGCTGCTATTTGTCATTTAACTCTTGAAATAAAAAGTTAAGGTCAGAGTGAGACCGTCATGAAAAATATCTTCCTTTTACTACGCTAAGATGAAACTGGAACCCTGGCCAGTTGGCCCACTTGGATTTTTATGGCAGATGGGCCACTTCCTTAGGCAACAAACGCCAGGCTGCCTCCCACTTTGCAAGCTAACTGTACCTTGCTTTTCAATTTGAATGGCCCGGGGTCATTTTCGAATAATTTTTTCGGTGGTTTCCCCACAAAATATATAAATGCTTTTCGTTTTGCCCCATGATCCATCTCTCTGCAAAAAGACCAAAGGGCTGTAACTTTTCATCTTCATGCTTTTACTGCATCTGGTTTACCTCTCCTGGCTGCAATCTGTGCACTTAACTTTCCCTTTTTGTTGTGTTTTTAGCCTGAATGCCTTCTGTTCCACCTATAACTAAAAATCATTACTTTCCGAGAACTATGGCCTTTGCCTTGAGCCCACAGTGAAGCACTACTCCTTGTATAGAATTTGAGAATTATACAGGAGAATATGCCCAGGCTAACTACAGTCTGGCATGGAAACGTGGGATAAAGAAGCTTTCTTAAATCTTCATGCGCAGCCAACATCCTGGCATTTCAAGTAGTAAAGTTTCATAATTCAACTAATCCTGCAAAAGAAAAAAGAGGCTATAATGCAGCTCTCTCTCTCTTTCCTCATTCTTTCTCCATAATGTTCACACAATTTAGTGGTGGGTCTGTGTTTATCCACCATTATTCTGTTTTTAGCTGCTTAATCAAATGATTAATATAACTTTTTTTTTATATATGACAATGGTTAATCTGTTTTCTTTTTTTTTTTTTTGATGATTCAGTTGTAATGATGTCACTTTCCTTAAGTGAATTCTGAATCACTAACTATGGTTAAATTTTTAAAGAGAAAAAAAGAAAGAAAAGAAAAGAATGGAGCATATGGCCTCACCTTGATATCAATAACAGTACTGTAGTGTAGAATAAATTTGTAGAATAGTAGGAGTACCAAGATTTTCTTTTTCTTTCTTCAGTACGAGTGAGATTCGGAGTTACAGTCGAAGACAATAAACCTAGTTTAGTCACATGATTACATGTGACTGTCTTTGGATCTTGTGTTCTCTTTCTACTGTGTCTGTACTTTACTATTCCAAAGCTGAAAGCCCCCTGCCTTTGAGATGTGTGTTTTCAGTTTTGGCCGCTCCCTTGTACGAATCCTCCCTCTCAATTACCACCCGCACATGTCCTAAATCGATTTCCCTCGCCCAATATGTAAAATCGGACTTTTTTTTTTAAAGAGAAGATTTGTTGAGATTGAAATGATGATATATTAATGAAATTAGCTAGGCATACTACAATCAACAAAATTTACTTTGACTATTTAATTTATGAAAATAAATAAATAAACTCGTGTCAAAAAATGATAAAATCATAGAATTAATATGTAAAAATAATAATACTAAAAATAGATATTAAAGTGTGAACAAAGAATAGAATACCTCCTTTACCTCAAATTGTGAATTTATTATAAAAAGAAATAGAAAAATAGGCAATAAGAATGACAATTTTGTTGTTTGAAGTCCTAATATTAGATTTTGACTATTAATATATTATTTCTAAGTAGCAATAAGTTGTTTTAAATTATCTTGACTGCTATCTCTACAAGTTAAAAAAGCTACATCACTAGACAAATGTGGAAATAACTCAAGACAAAAAATAAGATTCACAAGTTAATTTTACTTTTAAAATATTTTAAATAGTTTGTCGTAAGGATTCGTATTTCAAGGTAATTAACAACTTTTTCTTTCTATATTTTTTTCAAGTACGTGTATTTTTCTAATTCTGATATTTTTAAATAAAATTAAGTGACACATTCTGAATATTACGACAATTTACTATGTCAAACGTGAGTTGAATAATTAGAAAATCCACTATCCACTATACATGACGGGGGTAATGCGTTTCTTCAATATGCAAATGCTACTCTTTGAGACAATTTATTGGAGACATTCAATAACTCAAGAACGATTTTAATCTTTCTCTGTGTCACCTTTCAACACATCTGGCTTTACTTATGTTCAACATAACGTCTTTCCTTACCATAAACAGAATCTCTCTTGGGAACAAATGATATTACCACAACAATGCAAAATAAAAAAAAAATATATGGTTGTGGGAGTTAATTAAAAGAGAAAGGACATAGAAAACGAAGGCAAAAAAAGTATGAAAGAACAGGGAAGAAACTGTGAAGAGAAAATTGGCCTTGTCTGACATCGACACAGAAACATCCCAATCTCCTACAACGTTAGCACCTATACCCTATATAAAAAAAATCACACAGTAAATAAATTCGAAATTATATCTACTCAAGACTCAAAAAATTTTGATGGGGAAACTTATCTTTTATTTTATATAATATAAAAAGGTACTACTGAATCAGCGAAGTCGACCAGATCTCCCTTTGTGTGAAATATTGGGATGCTCTTACTTCCTTCCGGACAGACATCGGGTCCCCCGATCCATCTAATCCGCAACGCTGGTACATCCGCTGCTACCTTACACTGCCAAGTTTAAGACCAGACAACCCACCCTTGCCGAAAATCGCGACACAATTACTCCTAAGATGACTTGTCTACTCCTCACACATATTCCATTTGCATGGGTAATTTTGGGATATTGGCTTAATTATGAAAAAGGGATCATTTTTTGGATCATTTAATGCAAGACAAGATTGCAATCATCAATGGGGAGATTCGTTTGCATTTTTTATGATTTTTTTTAGTTCTCAAAAATATAATATTTTTAAAATAATTTTTAAATTTTTATTTTTTTAATCAAAAAGGATTTTTGAATAAAACTATTTTTAATGAACCTTTTCATATTTTAAGTACTCTTAAATTTCCTCTCGTGTCATTCATATGCTTTGCTCCTCATTTTACGGTGCTTTTTCAATTTTTTTTTCTCGTTATCTAATTTTTTTTAATTTTATCACAATCACTATTTTTTTATCTATCTCTAGTTATTTCATCATATGATCAAAAAGCATGACATAAAAAAAATAATAACATATTCTTAAGTTTATTGATTTATATTCACAAAACTTTTTTTTTTGTCTATCACTTATTATATCATCATCGATCTATAAATAAAAAAACATAACATAGTGAATAACAACGAATTCTTAAGTTTATGGGTGTTAAGCATTTTAAATATTCAACTATAGTAGAACATACCTTAACATGTAACAAAGTGATTCATGCCTTGACATATAACATCAATATGAGAAAAAAAGATTTGGTATATAATATATGATGCAAAAGCTTTGACTTTAACATATAACATTTACAAAGCAAACAAAAACATTCGGGAGTATTTAATTTGTTTGAAATGATTTTAAAGATATTTTTACCATCTTAATATTAAACTTGATTAAAAATAATTAACTTTATATGAAAAGTTATTTTTAAAATATATTTATGAGTAGGGTTGTTTTTATATTTTTCTCTCTTTTTTTTTTTCTTAAATGTATAATTTGCAAGATCAGCGACACTTGAGAGTCCATTTATTCATTGCGTAACACAGCTACTAGAAGGGGATTGATAGCTCAAAAATGTATACCAAAAATTGTTTTTCCTTTTCTTTTTCATACTACCATAGAGGAAGAATTTCAACGTTGAAAAATTAGCTTTTCCATTAATTTAAATATATATATGTATATATAATATGTTGCATGCAACAAAAAGGGCAAAAAAGAAGAGAAACGAGAGTGACTGGAATTTGTGGCTTCAGATATCTGCTTATAAGGAAGCCAAAAACTACCTACCCAAGACCTTTTGAAGTTCGAACGCGCAAACAAGAAACAGTTATCTTACATTAGGATTGTTCCTTTATTTCATTACGAATCATATAAAATGAAAGTAATAAATAATAATTTTAATAATAATCACAAAATAGAATTATATATAACATTATTCAAGGGAAAAAAATTAGAAAATAAAAATTTATCTTTAATCACTTTAGTGTCACACGGATATATTATATCTTTTGATTACCAAATAGAATTAAATCTTATATTTTATATAAAAAAAATCAAATGAAGTAAATTTAGCATAAAATCGTACGAAATTTACAGATATCGGTGTCGGCTTTTGGAATTAAGAATTAAAATTGTTTGGTTGAAACCGAAAACGTGGTTGAACGTGAAGCATTCAATAACAAGATTGACAGGCAGCTATCTGTACCTTTAAGCGGCCCATTTATGTTTGGGCCAAAACTTGTCTGGCCCTACTTTCTGTCCTTTAGAGCGGTCGTCTTCACTTCTTTATGCAAATTCAAACTACAAATTATGGTGGTTCTTCACCATTGTTATATTAAGTGGTAAGTAATTGACCGGTTGTATTTGTAGATTAAATTAATTAAATATTTTTAAAAGTTAATTACAATTTATTAAATGTAAAAGAAGATCAAACCAATCAAATATCAAATTCGTTCAATTGATTCGATTTTTAATCAAAATAATTTGAATTTTGTCACTTTTATCTTTTACAAATTAAAACATTGAAATTTATAAACTTTTTTCATAATTATAAACTATACAAATAATCTAAACATATAAAAGAATTTGTCATTTCACTCATATAATTATGTCCTTTCACATAAATCATTAAATTAACATTCAATAATTTTATAGAAATTTAAAATATATATAATATAATATTATGTCAACTTTTTATTCAATTTGATTCAAAAAATTTAAAATTGAAAATTAATCAAATAAACTAATTAGAAAAAAAATTAGATTAATAGACTCAATAAATAATTGAACTAAAATTGTTTTACTCAAATTACATTTGATTCGGTCAATTCATTAATCCAATTAAATCATGTTATATTATCACCTCTAGCATGCATGATTTATCATTTGAACATGTTTCTACTTACTTGGATGTTAAATGATTAGGCATGTGTCATTATAAAGGTTTTTGTTTTGTTTTAAA